ACCACTATTGCCCCATCGTACAGGCGGGGAAACGGAGGGTCCCCAGAATTCCATCACTCGCCCCAGATCACAGTCCTGGTGACCGCTCGAGCCACACGCCTGAGCGCGCAGCCAGGCCTCTCTGCAGATGCCGGGGCGGAGCCGCATCGTCTACACCGAGTGGCTGTGGGAGAGGCGGTGGGGCCAGCCGAGAGCTGGAACAGCTCTGTGCCAGGCCCCATGCCACCTTCCTCCTCATTTAACACCTCAGGGCCCGAAAACACCCGGAGGCCACACAGCTGTGGATTCTTCTGTTTCTGATAAAGACTTCTTTGAAATGAGTCATTTCCTTCAAAAGGAAGAAAAATGTTTTTAGATTGTAGCAGAAATACCCACCCTCAAATACACAGCCACTCTCTCACGCTGCTCAGGTGCCCGAACCCTGGGCCAGGGAGCACCGGTTGCTGGAGAACCTCACGTCCAGCCTCAAACCTCTGCGGCACGGGGACCTGAGGTCACAGTCGACCCCAGGGAGCCACTCACTAGGCTCTTTACTCAGGGGGGCTGGGCCTCCGACTTTGATCCCAGTGGCAGGAACAGACCTGCTCCTCAGAAGCAGGCCTTCTACGCAGTTGTCTTCATTTCCCGAACGGGGCCTCCATTTCTGCCTTGTTCTGTCTGCCTGCCTCCTTCCCTGCCAGCTGCTTTCTCCTCTGTCTTTATCTATCTTCCTCTCTTTTCCTATCACTCCAATCATGCACCCATCCGGTCATTCATTTATTCAGTTTTGTAGTTGCCCTTGCAATCTTTTTTCCCCACCCCCGGCACTTGGCAATCTTTCATCTCTTTTGTGTCTCTATAGCTGTGGCTTTTTTCAGGAATGTCATATGAAAGGCATCACAGAGCACGNCCCCGGCGCTTGGCAATCTTTCATCTCTTTTGTGTCTCTATAGCTGTGGCTTTTTTCAGGAATGTCACATGAAAGGCATCACAGAGCACGTAGTCTTGTGTGTCACGATTCTTTTACTTGGGATGGTGTTAAGATTCACATATGTCACTGGCTGCATTACTGAGGCATGTGCCCCTCATTACACCACAATTTGTTTGCTCTTTCACCAGATGATTGGCNGTAGTCTTGTGTGTCACGATTCTTTTACTTGGGATGGTGTTAAGATTCACGTATGTCACTGGCTGCATTGCCGAGGCATGTGCCCCTCATTACACCACATTTTGATGTAATGTGCCTCATGGTGCCCCATTACACCACAATTTGTTTGCTCTTTCACCAGATGATTGGTGTTTGGGTTGTTTCCAGTTTGGGGCTAAAATGAACAGAGCTGCTATGAACATTCATGTGCAAGTCCTCGTATGGACATATGTTATCACTTCTCTTAGGTAAATACTTGTGAGCAGGATTGCTGAGTAGCATGATACATGTATATTTAACTTTATTTTTTAAATGGCCAACCTGTGTTCCATGTGGTGGCACCATGTACATTCCCACCAGCAGTATTGCGTCCTAGTTGCTCCAGCACTTGGTGTGGTCCGTCTTTATCATTTTAGCCATTCCCTTAGGTTTACAGTGGTATCTCACAGTGGTTTTAATTTGCATTTTTTTATAACTGTTGATGTTGAGAATCTTTTTATGCGCTTATTGCCCATTTCTTATTGGGTTGGTAGTCTTTTTCTGAGTGAATTGTAAGAATTTCCCCCATCGCTTTTTAATCTCCCTTCCTTCTNTTTTAATTTGCATTTTTTTATAACTGTTGATGTTGAGAATCTTTTTATGCACTTATTGCCCATTTCTTACTGGGTTGTCTTCTTCTGAGTGAATTGTAAGAATTTCCCCCATCGCTTTTTAATCTTCCTCCCTCTATCCCTCTGAATCTGTCTCTTTCTCCCATTGTGCCTCTGTCTCACTGTCTGACTCTCCCCCACTCTCAGTCACCCACCATTTCCCCCCTTCCTCTCCGTTGCCTCCTGCTCACTCGTGTTCTCCCTTCCCCTCCCAGACACCACAGAACCTGAGAGTCTGACCTCCCTTCCCGTTCCATAATAGAAAGAATTCCTCCCCGCCATGGTGGCTCAGCGGTTTAGCATCCAGGAGATCGGGGTTTGATTCCCCGTCTNTCCCTTCCCCTCCCAGACACCACAGAACCTGAGAGTCTGACCTCCCTTCCTGTTCCATAATAGAAAGAATTCCTCCCCACCATGGTGGCTCAGCGGTTTAGCATCCAGGCGATCGGGGTTTGATTCCCAGTCAGGGCACATGCCCGGGCTGTGGGCTCGATCCCCAGTAGGGGGCATGCAGGAGGCAGCCGATCAATGACTCATCATTGATGTTTCTATCTCTCTCTCTCTCTCCCTTCCTCTCTCTGAAATTAATAAAAAACATATTTGAAAAAGAAAGGAAGAATTCCATCACAAGCCCACCAATTCCAGTCCTGGCCAGGTTCCATGGACCAAATAGGAGGAAGTACCCCCTCCCCAGAGGAAGACCTAGAGAAGGAAAGAGAGAGCCCAGTGCGATGGAGGGGCGGCTTTGCATTCTGGCATCTCCCTCCTTCCTAGAGATTAATAGTGTTTATGGCTAGAAGGACTTTTTACTCAAACATAACATTGGAAAGTTGTGGGTGTTAAGTGAAGTTCATGCTGCCTAATCAGTGTTTCAACAGACTCTGCAAACATAAGATTAGTTGTTCGCATAACAAGGCTCTCCCTTGGCACAGCTCCCAAGTTTGGCAGGATACCTTGCCCAGTCACAGGGAAGGAGCTGCCTAGCCCAAAGTCCAGCTCCGTTTCCTCTCTACTTGAGGGAACCGGTGTGACAATACCTGATTGCAAAGATCAGAACACCTTATGCAGTGTCAGGGAGCACCAGATGTGTGACCACGGAACACTTTTTTTTTTAAGAGCTTCATTGAGATTGAATTCACATACATACAATTCATCCATCAAGGTATACAATTCAGTGGGTTTTAATATATCCACAAATATGTGCAACCATTACTACCACAATTTTACATTTCATCACTGCAGAGAGAAACCCTGTACCCCCCTTAACTATCACCCCCATATCTACCTCTGTCCCCAGCCCCTAAAAACCTCTAATCTACTTTCTAGTTCTATAGGCTTGCTTATTCTGGACGTTTCATATACATGGAGTCATGTGATGTAGTCTTTTTGCATCTGGCTTCTTTTAGCATAAAGTTTTCAAGGTTTACCCATGTTCTAGCATGTATCAATACATCATTTTTCATGGCTGAATAATATTCCATTGTATGCATATATCACATTTTATATATCCATTCACCAGTCAATGAACATTTGGGTTATTGACCTCTTCTGGCTATTATGAATAATGCTGCTGTGACATTTGTGTACCAATTTTTGTGTGGACCTTGGGTATGTACCAGGAGAGGCCTTACTGGGCAATATGGTAATTCTATGTTTAATCTATTGAAGAACTGCCAGACTTTTCTAAAGGGCCTACACCATTTTACCTTCCCATCAGCTCTGAATAAGAATTTCAGTTTCTCTACATTATCACCAGCACTTGTTATTATCTGACTGGAATAGTTTCTGATCCTGTAACTGGATTCTCATAACGTCACACATACACACACAACCACAGATACACTTACACAACCATCAACTCAGACACACACAAAACTATAGTCATACATACCTGCGCGTACCTCTAGATTTCACATACATACACACAGACTCCCAGATAGACATGTACAATCATATATACAACCATACATACATATAATCACACACAGCATAAATGCATTTCGATTTATAGACCCACATATATGAACATAGTCAGACATACAATATGCCGGTTGCTATCACACATCTACATACAATTGTCATGGGTTCCGAACAAACATACACGCTTGCACAGAGAGCCAGGGCCACATGCACTCAATAATGCATTCACACCCGCCCAAACACTCAGGCACAACAATAACTGTACCCCAAAACAGAGCCCTATAAAGGCACGCCATTAGATATAGTTCCCATTCCTCACGGGCGGGGACCTGAACGTATTTACTCTGGATGGCATGGAGGCGGGTGAGGTCTCATTAGTCCCTGGTGTACTGGGCAGGAAAGCTTTTTCATTCATTTGTTCTTTAAGCTACAACAACTTACTGAGCACATGAGAAACAGTGATAAACAAGACATAGCTCCTGCCCTCATGGGACTTAAGAGTCTAATGGGGGGATGGTTAGTAAATAAGAAAACAGGCCTCGTTTGCGACACGTGCCAAGGAGGAAATAAGCAGAGTAATAGGTGAGATAACAGGCGAGGTCCCGGGGCAGCAGACGGTTTCCAGGAGCTTGGAGCTGTGCCGCTCCCCCTTTCACCCCGGACTCATGAACGCGCGAGGTGGGCAGGGCCTGTACTACCTGGTCTGGCATTTGGCTTTGGACTGCCTGGGTGAGCTCTCTCTCAGCCTCATCCAGAAACGCGGATAACAGTTTAACAACGACTCCATTTGCTTGTAAAACACTTCGAAGTGCCTGGCAAGTGCTAAGTTCTCCATCAACATCATATTCCGAGAGAAAGAGGTTTTCACAGAGGCAGGTGCGGGCTCTGGGGGGCCGGCGGGGAGGGGCCAGGGGCCTGGCAGTGCCCTTGCCTGAAAATCCGACTGGCCTTCACCCCCTGCCGAATCTGAGCGGCCCTGGAACGCAGCCTTGGCACGCCACCCGCCACCCCACCCCCAGGACATAACCCAGTCTATCCCCGCCC